GAACAATACATTTGCTTGGATTGAAATAGTCTTTATTCAGACTGTGCATTCCCCACGACGCCTGCGGGATCGACCCTCGAAAAATTTCCTGCATAGACCTTCGCAGACAACATCAAAAACAGTTTCAAGATTGACATAATGTGAACATTACATTTAGAGCAGCAATCCATATACTCGTTTGCTTACGTGACTCGAAAAAGCTGATCTCATAAGTTCAAATGAGAACAAAATTATATCTCTAAAAATTTTAATGACTAGCAGTAACTGCTAGACAACGCTTTACGTTTCTTATGCATTTAGACTCGAAAAATTTGAGGTCACTGGGATGATTACCATACATATAATTACGCATAATTCAAAGAAAATAGTGAAAACATATTGACTGTAGCTGAACATTTTGGAGAGAATGATTACAATATTCCTGATACATCAGATATTTTTAAGGTTATACTGCCAGCGAAAAAAATAAAACCAAATATTTCACAAAGACGGCTATGATTGGCTACACAAAAATTTGTTCGTCCTTAATACTGAAATAAGTCATACAAAAACGTTCTTCGTTGTGCCGACTTACTGCATCAATCGGCTAATGAACATGAATTCAAAGCCTGAGCCTAACCTCCTTTCATCATGCTTAACAGTAGGCACAATGTAACCACAAAAAATGTTCATTAACGAATCAATACAATACAATAACAATAGCTGCTTTTAAAAAACGTCCGTATCGTTGGATGTTCACGATTTGATGGCTGGCGAAACGAATCAAACTTTGCATATTTAAGTAATAAATTCGATAGATGAATTAGGTAAAAATACCTGAAAGTAATCGGCAATAAGATGATCCGATTTCATTTTACTCCACTGATCGATGGGCGCATCGGTAAGAATGAGACTGAGCTTACAATGCAGATGAGAAGTCGTTTCCATCTTTGAAGTGGACGGTTGTCGTTTCCAAGCACTTGCGTTGAGATCAGTTGAGGAAGCAGACGAAGATATATCGATTTCAGGTTGTGCTTTACGAACAGCTATCATACTAGTCCGACTGGTTGCGAAACATGAAGGTCGTATTCCGTGTAAACGTACTGCTAACCGTGTTGGCAGCATTTTACTTTGATATTCTTCAGCTCCTAAAGGATTAGAAGGAATAAATATTTTTAAAATCGATTCTGAAACGAACATTCAAATAACTTAACGTCCTATATCAACAACGATGTGACAGCTGTAAGTGAATATCGGCACGTGAAAAGTTCCCAACCACACACATTCAAAAAAGTTTCGCTCCAGTAAGTTTTTATTTTTTCTGCTTCATTCTAACTTTTAAATGTTTCCCCAAAATGTCATGCAATTTCCAGTGGTTTATTTACGAACAAATGAACTTCGTTGTGATTAGATCATGATATCAGAATTCGGGTAAGAAAGTGATTGCCGCAGAATAACACAAAATCGAGTGATAAATGCACAAGCACAACAATTTAGTGAACAGAGCAGTACTGGGATGATAACTGGGATTAAGCGACAGGGGGATTAAGTGACAAGAGAATACCACCATGGACATGCGTGAGGAGTGACTATAACACGATATCGTTCACTAAAAAATGCCGCAATCCGCTCAGTGAACTGATTCAATATTTTATAATCTGCAGTTCGAGTGATCATTAAAACGGGTGTTTGCGCTATATTAATGCACAAGAAAAATGAGCTCATCAGTTGACTATTCAGACAGTATAGTATTACTAAATTTTGAGTAAACTCTTTGAAAAGACGTCAAATTTTGTCCAGTCTAGAGCTTGATCGACCTGTGCTTAATCTTGATCCTTTCACCCCACATAATCTTCATTACACTTAACAAAATAGACCAAATCGGACTTCGAATACCAGCATACTTGATCCGTATATTCATCAACCAGTAACCATAATTGATTCATTGACACTCCGCCAAAAATATATTTTGACCATCCGCCAGAAACAGTGCTGATGACCAGTGTCGCTAATTTACCAAAAAAATCTCAACTTTACATTATATATTAGTGTGTTGCAGGAACGAGAAGTTTTGAGGGAGATTTTTCTCCGACTTTCCCCGTCTTCGAACGGACATAATTACTCATGGTGACAGATATACCACCCCAGGGAGAGTTGGAGAGAAGAAGGAAAAAAGAAAGCAGTAAACAGCGTGTCCAAAAAGAAGCAGAATTCAACTATTTATATTTTCTAAGCTCGCGAAAGTTTCGGCGTCCTAAAGAAAGCAGATGAAATAATGAAGGTGAAAGTAGAGCATTGTAGAGTTGTGCGGAGACGGAAAAAAAGTTGGGAAAGGGGAGAATCGGGGAGATTTCGGGAACAGGGACAGTCCTCGAGAATGGCCGCGGCTCCAAAAAGGTAGGGGACGGGGACCCCAAATTAGGGGATTCCCCCCAAAGTTTTAGTGCATGGTACCAAACGATGTATTATAGTAGCAGCAAAAACAAACATGAAATATTGGCTACAATAAGGAAATGTTGGGTGGCATGGTTAAGAAAGAAATGCAATATTCTGCCGTTGATCTTAAGTTTATCATCGTATGATAGAATCTCTTCTACATTCGACAAAATGGAACTTTCTAAAATTTTGTTAAAATTCGTAATCATGATTGATATGGATAAGAATCTGAAAACGAAAATGATTATGAGGATAGATTACCTACAAACTATATTGAAATCGTATCATCCTGCCAATTAACAAAATTACACATTTAACTTCAGACGTTGATCATCCAAAAAAATCGTGCGTTGGCATTTCGGTTTTTGGATTAGAACTGAAAGGAGACTCAAACCGACGCCGTATTAATGCAAACATCTGCACATGTTAATCGAAATGAAATCGGGCTGCATTATGCTCATTTCATCCGGGATTAATCCACATCTGTATACCTGGTGAATGAAGTCTAATGAAAATTCTTCATGTTGAGCTCAATAAATTTCATGAAGCTTTGAAATGTTTGATTCTCGTAATACTGATTGCTTTCCTTGCATTACAAGCCCTGTTAGAACCCCATAATTCTGGAATTCATATGCTTGTGAACCAAATCAGAGCTTATCCATAGAATGAATTCGGAGCCGTTCTTGCTTTCGGCCACAAAGATTTTGTCCTTGAATAAAAAACAACTGGGTTGATCATCGCTCGAAAGATCACGAACCACAATATGATCACGCATGAAATTGCAATTTGTAAGCTCATAACGATAAATTTTCATGAGTCATAGCACTTACAGAAACACTCAATTGAAATGACAAGTATTCTTCTGATTGCTGGAATCAGTCGACATTGCTTAAACACTGATACGTCGCTGAATCGTTTCATTGCATTTGTTTGTGTGTTCATATAAGCAATGAGGTGAGAGAATACAATAGCACGGTAAAGGAATGAGAAAGTAATTAGGAATGCGCAAGAAACATTGAAAAAATGACTAGAAATTGGTGAAAAAGATTGAGAAATGATTCTGCAAAGAATGAGAATCATTGAATGAATCTGACAAACAATAAGATGGAAATTAGAAACGCTATCAAAAGAATGAGAAATGATTTCATAATTGAAAAAGAACGAAATGAAAATCAGAATCTCTGTAGAACGAGCGAAAATATTGGGATCTCAAAGAAGCGAATCTCCGTATTTGTGCGACATGAATTACCTCAAGTCTCACAGTTATATCCATGAAAATGTGCAATATCACAACAAGCAATCATATTCCATGCAGTAAGATTACGGATTAAACTTTAAACTTACAGTGGCCATAGATTCATAACTTATATCATTCAGCGAAATATAACGCATCTATAAATTGCGACGGTGATTAACAAAGCGTATTTCATGGAACAGGACCCAGGGAGTTATCAACTCTTTCCTATGGTGAGTCAGTCCATTGAAGGGATAGACTCATCAATTTGAGAAGGGGCTTATCTATTGAAAGAAATAATACTGATAATCGATGAATGATGATAACCAACTCTGTTTAATGGCACATGACAAGTTGCAACAACAACATATTTGGGATAACCAATAGTTAGAAAAACGCACCTCTTTGACATACTTAATTAAAGGTTTCTGCGGAAAAAAAGATGAACAAGTGGAAATTATTGTCATGTGTATGTGAACAGAAAGGCAAAATCCGAAAAAAATCGATGTTGTTGAAAAAAATAAAATATGAATACGTTCAGGCCGGCATCGCTCATATATTATTGAGCACATTCTATGAAGTTGAAAATGTGATCAACTCTCCGAAAATAATATCAAATTATAACATTTACTGCGAAAANGGGGGGGGGGGGGGGGAAGGGGGACGAATTTAGGTATTCCACCGGTCATAGTCCTACTGAAACTTCTGCATAAAATTCAGATGCGTCGTTGAATTAACGATCACCCATCAGTGCTCGCAGAAGGTCGAAAACCGTTGCTTTGCAACGAATTTTTGCGCTTTCTGTATTGAGTAGTGAATGATTTTCAGCGTTGAACAGTCGAAGCAGGTTGGAGGGATTCGAAAATGCGAATACTGTAATATATTGACGTTCCAGTTCTAATTCGGTTATCCGCATTTTTTTTCAGTTTTGGATTTTTGAAGAAGCTATGCTAATGTATCCCTATTGCATTGTCATGATGGAGCGCGAACGAGACGATTCGTGAGAGACACCGAAGTGATATGTGAAATCAACCTTTAAATCTGTACTTTAGGTGTATATGTATAAGATGTACACGGATATAATGCACTATCAATTTGGATGAAGAAATGGAACTTTCATATGTCTTACTTGGAGGATCTCCTCCCTTTGTGTTCGTATGATATGAATACTTTGTGTTTCGATAATATAATTCAGTGTTATTGCAAATAAACGCCGAAATACATACTCTAAGGTTAGCATCAGTGTTGCTCACCTT